TGTATTCCTCTGGGAAGAGAAACGACAGAAGCGGTTATCGCACGTTTCTCCGCCTTTTTGCGTTCCGCCTTTCTAAGACTCTCCTGGCTCCCAAAGCGAGAATACATTTCTGTGCCTAGCGGCTGTTATTGTTTGCACGGATTATGATAGTGACATTAATAAGGCAACCACACAGTATATTAATATATGATTATTAGAGATTAACACGTATAATTATCATATACAATATATTCTATAAGCACAGTGCATGCGTCTTTCTACTTTATCCCCATTAGCCCCGGTTGCCGGCAAATTCCCCGAAGTAGCTCAGAAAAAAAAGCACAAGAAATAAAAAAAAAACCCCACCCCGTAGGAGACAAACACCGGCTTGCGTTATCTTTTTTTCCTGCAATCCAAGCGACTCACCAAGCTCTGCAGCGAGTTCACCTGAAAAAGAGAGGGGGGGGGAAAAAAGAACGGCTTTCCGTTACGGTTCACGCCAGGGCGGTCACGCCGGCCTCGAGCACACCCGAAGTCCGTGTCGCTGGGGGGGGGGGGGAAGTCTGATACTCACCAATTCTTCTATCACCTTTTTCTAAATAAAGGAAAGCAAGCAAGAAAAAAAAAAAGCAAACAAAGTTGTTATAATCTGGTTTTTTTTCCCCTTCGTATAAAAAAATAATACCAGAACACAGACCGCGAACTGCGTGTATTTGTTTTGTTGGAAGGCAGAGAAAAAACACTCACCGATTTCTGCAGACAGTTCATCTTGAGAGGAGGAGAAAAAAAAAAAAAATACTGATTTTAACTATAATAAGGATAATAATGAAGATAAAAAGTCATGATTCCACACACCGAGTTCCATGGGATCCGGGAAGCAGACGGGCACCTACCAATTTTCATATCGCGTTCTCCTAAATAAGGGAAAACAGAAAGGAAAGGGGTGGGGGAAAAGAGTCATTCCTAACTACTCCCCCCTTCGCTGCGTGCGTTCGTCAGCTAGAGAGAAGTCTTGTTTTTCCATCCCGCACGGCGAGTTATAATTGTAATTTGCATTTTGCCTCTAATTTTATATAGGCTAACCCACCCCCTAACTGACTTTCCTCATCTTAAAGCAAAGGCTTGCTCCTACCAGACCCCAAACTAAATACAAACAAGATATCGGCACAAATTTGATTTTTTTTTTTTCCTTTTTTTTTTAAAAAAGGACTTACCCAGCTCTGTCGTGAGTTCACCTAGAAAGAGCGAAAGGAAAACTGGTTTTAATTATGAATATTTTTTCCCCCTGCAGATAAATGGCCCGCCGGGGGATTCTACGTTTCTCTTCACGTTGACGTTGACGGGTTTTTAAATTTTAAGTGCTCTCAGCAGAGTTAAGCATCACCGAACCGAAGAGAGCCCTCGGCGACAGAAAACCAACCCCAAAATACCTTTTTATCACCCAAAATGGGGTACAGAAGGGCACTTGGGCTGCCCAGGGAGAACGGAGAGAAGCAAACAAGGACGTGAAGTTTTCGAACGGCCCTTTTGTCTCGGGTCAGAGGGAGAGCGCTCTCCTTCCCAGCGGTGTTTGCACC